GAATGAAGTTTTATTGCGATGTCTGTGGATATTTAAAATTTACTTTTTTTTGTCATAAATATGTAAAAAAAAAAATTTCATCGTATATTATTTTCAATATGATAATTTAAAATCTAATGTTCTTAAAATATGCAAATTAATAAAAAATATTTAATGTCATATCTATAAAAAATATAAAATATTAGTCATTGAACTGATGTAACACTAAATAATATATTTATTAAATTAAGAATTTATGTCAAATGTAGTCTTCTGTGATTTTTTGAATTGATTTTTAATATTACAAACCGTTAGGATTTTACCATATATTTTGTAACATAGGTTAGAATATTTTATTGAATGTATTTTTTTAATGTTTATTCGCACATTTTATAGCAGACAAAAGGTATTATGTTTGTATTAAAAATCTAAGTTCAATGGTTTTTAATCTAAAATTAAAAAGTATGAATGCTAAAATAATTGATCGTTGATAATTAATATTGGATTTATGTTTTTTCTTATGTAGTAGGAACTGATTTTCCAATAATAATTAAAAATAGTTGTTTCCTGTTAAAAATGTATGATTATAAATTAATATCAAAAATTATAATACATTAACGTTTATTATGGCCTCGAAAGTAAGTGATAAAAAATGTGAACTTAAATATTAATACTATAACACTATAAACGATTATCATGTATTAACATTTCAATGCACATTTGATTTTATAAAATATATCGTTTTATAATCTAAAAATGTTTTGACGGAGCGGTGTATAGGCAAAATAGCTACATGTAAGAAAAAAATATTTAGGAAAGCATACCGTCGAATTATACCATTAAAGTATAATCATAAAAATTTTAATTTGGAGTACTATTTTAACATGATTGTATTATTGTAATTCTATGACGGGGAAAGCTAGAATTTTATAAACATTCAGAACACATTATTTTTTACTGAGTATTTTATTAAGTGGTTAAAATATTTGCTGATTTTAAAAATTTATAATTTTTATTATGATGTTTACACTTTTTTGTGCGAATATAAATGATGTGAAAAACGTTTAAGATATAAATTTATATATTTTATCCTTAAATAAAACGTGTTTGAACTTATAGAATAAATAAGGGTTGATTTAATTAAGGTTTTTTTTTTATTTTGCATAAAAAAATAATGCATTGAAGTTTTAGGAAAAAAAGGTCAATTTAATTAATTTATTTTTTCTTTTTTTTTTCTTTTTTACTATGAAAATGATTAGTAAAAATTTAAAGTTGTAGAGATTTGTTTTAAAATATTCAAAATTGTTTTCGTGTTCAAAGAATAAAAATTTCAATGTTTTAAATTTAATTAAATTGTAATATATTAAAAATAATGCCACAATTTATAATAACCAGATAAGTGACTGTAATGTAATTAACAGTTTAAACTACAAAAATGTTAAATCATGTAGGTCAATAGTAAAATGTCATCTCGAAAATCTAATTTTCCTTCAAAATTAAATTTTCATAAATATTATATTAAATAGATTTAATCTATTACATTTAATATTAATAGGTAGTTCGTAGATCTAAGTCATAAATAATTTAAGATGTTAATGATTTCACCAGATTATGTTCATACTGTAATTTGTTACCGGTGTTGCACAATGATAACTAATAATTTATCTAGATAAAGATAAAAGATTTTTTAATTTATAAATTAATCTATACATTTTTTTTTTTTTTTTTTATATAAATTTATACTTAAAAAAAAAAACTAAATCAAAATTAATTTAACTTTGATCTAACACTCGTAGGTATCTTCACTATAAATAATGAACAAAAAACATTTATACTATGTACATTTATATACGGGAAATAAGAAATAAATAAATAATAAGTATTTGGTTAAAAAAAATACATTATTTGTAGATAAATTATAATTTTACAGAGCCATTCGTTATAATTTATATAATACTTATTATGGAGTAATATTTATGCGACACATATTTAAAAGTTAATTCGACCATTTCCTACATTATTTAATTCTCTTGTTTAGGAATAAAATATTTTAAGAGTCACTAGGAAGTATTAATTTAATGTTATTTATTAAATATATAAACAACTCTTAAAAATAATACTTATAAGCAGGATTTAAATAATGCAACTAAGCATATGTTGCAGCAACTTAACTTTAAAAATAAAAGTAATTAATTATAAAGTTAATAAATTAATAACATTAATTAAATTTTCATAAATTTAAAATTTTTGTTAGTTTTTAACTTTCAAATTAAATTTTTCGAATTTTTTAAATAAATAGACACGTATTTATTTATCTAGATCAGTCGTTCTCAAATTTTTTTTTCGTGGTACCTTTTTTTGGACCCAATTTAGCCACGGTGCCCTGGTAATGAATAACATTAAAAATAGAAACAAAAAAAGATCTATTGATAACCGATTTTATTAATTTTAATAAAATTTAACTTAGTTATAAATTAATGCATTTTTAAACTTAAAAATTAGATAAATAAAAATGATTGTTATTATGATTATATTTATTACATAAAAATATAAGGTTAAAATGAGAATAACTGACTATACAATAGACAATAGAGCTCTGCACGGTCCGGTCTAGACCGGTCTGGACCGGACCAGACCGGATCGTGGTCCGGTCTTTTTCTGTCTTTGCATATTGTAATTTTATGTGGTTCGGTCCGGTTCGGTCCCTTGATCTAAAAAAAAAAAAATGGTCCGGTTTGGTCCGTCTTCAATTCAAATTTGGTCTCGTTCGTTCCGGTCCCGTGATCTTTACTTTATATAATTTTATATATTTATATGACGTAGTAAAATAAAAAATAATTTCATAATATTATACTATTTTAATTTAGATTATAACGTTTTGGGATACAAAAATAGCTCATCGCGTTTTTTATAATAATTATTATAGTCTTGTTGTTGACATAATATTCACCCATTATACAGATCTACAAATATAATGCTGGGGACACGAGATAATGAAATTACCTGCATTGAGTTTTCAGTATTTTTTCCAAATGTATACAAATTAGAAAAAAAAAACCAAGCAATTATCACTATCGGTTAATAATCTATAGACATTTATATATACCAATTCTGTGGAAATGATAACGACGAAATAATATGAGATAACTATGTTTATATTTCTAGAAATTCGAATCCCACATCATTTATAAAACCCCGGAATTTCAATTTTATTTTATCGGTCTGCTCCGGTCCTGGTCTTTGTTAAAATGTATCAGTCCTGTCCGGTCTAAAAAAAAAAAAACGGACCGTGCAGCGCTCTAATAGAAAATATTACATTATTTTCTATTAAGTTTTTACGAAAACAATAAGGAAAAACAATTTTATACATTTTAAACTATTTGTTATGAACCGTAGACGGTGGTTCCCTTATAAAGTGGTCGTGGTGCCCCTAGGGCACCACGGTGCACAGTTTGGGAACCGTTGATCTAGATGAATAACATCAGATTACTCAACAATTTATCTTAGATAATGCTCAACACGCTCGAAATATGATTAAATCTACTTATATCTATATATTTTCTAGAAATATTGTTTTTCATTTTTGTACAAAAATAATTTAGATAATTGATTGATTGCACTCAAAGATGGTTTTGTTTCCGACAGGAATATCTAACCTCTCATTTGAATGGACATAGAGAACGACAATTAGTAGCGCGATAGTTTTGAATTTAAACAATCGTACAACAAAACAGTATCCCGGCGTGAAAGTCAAATCAAGAATATTATTCATATTTACTTATCAAGCGTGTATTTTATCGTAACGGTACAATGGTTTAGCATTATTTTCGAAGTAACCGAGGGACACGTAATGTATTACGAATCAAGTAGGAATAGGGCTTCATATTTTATTTCGACCTTCTTCCAATAAGTTTATAATTCTCTATTCGAGCGAACGATGCCGGGTACAAAAATTCTCCATGGAATTCAGAACGGTAGGTAGGTACACGTGTAGGTGAAACAATTCGATCGCGTTTCTCCGTTACACGTACGGTCACGAAACGTAACAACAAGTCTCAGACGCTGAAAAATTTATAAAAACGGAATCGCACGGCACTGAATTCGGCATTTGTTCAAAATTCGAATCGTCTGGTACGGAAACGTGAGGAAACTCACGCTGCCAGTCGTCGGGGCGCGTATCAAAACGGTCGGGTTACCTACTACCTACGCGTGCCCACTGCGCCAATTGGTGCTCGAGAGGATTTCATAGCAGATTTGGTCTGCGGCGGACTGAATTCTCTAAAAAATCCTACCGTGTGTGGTATCCGACGTATTCAGTCTGTTGCAAATGAAAATTCGGAGGATTTAGTCCTACGGATCAATTTTCTCTCTTCTCCGCTAACTAGAAACACCCGGTTCGACAACCTTAATAAGAAACCATTATTTATTATTGCCAAACAACATCATTTGGTTCATATTGGCTCAATTCGTGTAATAATGGTATATGATCAAACAAGTCCCATCTGTGGAGTAAGTTTTTGAACCACTTATGCCTCATTTTCCTATTCCTTATCTAATGGTAATCGACCATCAATCGACATTGCCTATTAACTATTTTTTTTTTTGTTCAAGGCAAATTGTTATGTTTATCAGTTACTATTTTATTTTTTATTATATCAATTGTACAATTAATTGTAAGTATAAAATATATGAACACAAATTGAGAACGTAACAATAAAAAACCGTTAAACCAGAAATAATCCGTCGTATAAATCCACAGATCTTTCAGAACGGCTTAAACGTCTTGGTTCTCAGCCCAAAAGTCATCGATTTTCAAACGCTAACTAACGGTTCGCCGGTGAATTTGATCTATGAAAAGTAGCGGATATTTATTTTCACATCAGTGAATTCAACCGAGGACCTAGCCCGATGGACCAAATCCGTCATGAAATCTTCTCATGCACGGGACCCTGTTCGCATTGTTTCGGACTCGGCGTGAGACGGGTAGCAAGCGATAAGAACGAAATCGTGTGTACACTTACCGATGACCGTCAGGTTGAGCCTGGAATTGCGCGTCGGCGAGTTCTTGAAGTCTACCCGACACCTGTAGATGCCGGCGTCGTTCTCAGACACGTTATCGATGGTCAGCATAGCCGGTTCGGAGAGCATGCGGAAGTGCGACCGGCCCTCCAACATGTGATCTTTCCAATGGGACTTGTTCGGGTCCGTAAACTTGTCTCGGATGTCCACGCTGCAAAAAGCAAAACGAACGAGGTTAGTCAACCGTGTGAGCGTAAACTTCGGTTCCGGCTGACGTGACGTATTGCGTGGCCGACGGCCGTTCGCTCGAAACGCATGCGTGACCACAGGTGTACCCGATGTTATGGGCTACCAAATATTATTTAAAATGCATATTATTATATAACGTGTTTTTGATCTTGTTATATTTAAACTAGTCGTAGTCAGAAAGTATTATGTAGCATTTTAAAAGGAAATGATAATATATCGGAGAACAAAGTCTAAACAGATTCCCGGAAATATCAGACCAAAGGATAGTGCCAATAGATCAATAATAACAAGAGCGTAACTCTAGTTATTTCGGAAAAAGATCAAATAAACAATTTCTATAACGCGAATCGAACCGTATAAAAGTGGCCTGGAATCAGTACACCTGAAATAGATGAGTTCTAGTCACAAAACTGTAAGAAACTTCACGTCACTTAGTATCAGAATTTTTTCAACACTTTGGATTGTAAAATAAACATATTATAAAAGTTAAAATCTCATTTTTAATTAAAAAAATAACACATCTTCAGCTGCTCGAGTTGATATCGATCCAGTGGCACGTAACACCGACGATTTCGGCTCGGACGGTGAGAGAGAGGTACAGAACTTGTCAAAACTTTATTATTTGAACGGCATTGTTCACCGCTGACCGCGGTCGATGCGCTCCAAGTATAAATACCATTACGTTACACACTTTATCGGTCATCGCTACCGCGCGTCCTATTTATGAATGTTATTTTATAATTAAAAATACGCACGTGCGCTATGAGATAAGTTATACGTTTTAACCATTAAAGTACGTATTAAATTTTAAGCATAGCTTTAGGATATTATTTGTGAAGTCGTTGCTCTAAACATTTTTTTTTTTCCGAAATGTTTACCCGTATTTAATACGTACGTACATATTTTTAGTTACATCGTCGAACAAAACGTGTTAGTTTGATTATAAGATTCAAGATTTCGGGTTCCCCGTAGATTACTCAATAATTAAATCGGTATCAACACGAAAAAGAATAAGTTATCAAATTAAAAATAGTATCGAAAGTGAAAACATGATTAGAAATTAATACTGTTATCAGATACACTTTAAAATTTGAATCAAAACAATCGTTTACATAATGTGGATTTATGTAAAACAAAATTAAAGAAATAAGTTAATAAATGAAATATGATAAAATATTTATGGCCAAAAATTAAATATCATATTCTAAAAAACAATGTAAGAATTGTTATAATGCATGTAATTATATGAAAAAAAATTTAAAATTCAGTAAAACATATAAATATATTCTCTTTAATGCAAGACGAAGAATAGCTATTTATAATATTGAATATTAAATTTTAATACTAATTGGTATATTATACTATAAGTAGTTGGTAAAATGTGTTAAATTATAAAAAAAAAAATAACATTTATAATCGTATTAAACGTTTTTTACCGTTTTATACTGAAAATGATAAATATGAATCATCATTAAATTTGATTGACGTTTATAAAGCGTTGAAGAAATGAATCAATATTAAATTTTGTTTCAATTTTATAATGATTTCATGGGTCAAAACTACAAGTGAAATACATGGAAATAATACGGTAAACTACTTGGATTTATACCTTACGATTCAGTTTCTCAAACTTTTAATAACTTTTCGTATACAACATTTAATTTTTTCTATACATGATATTTATTTATAAGTTTAGATGAGGACTGTAACTTAAAATAGTATAACCTCTAATAAATAAAAAAAAAAAAAACAATAATTATCGATTGCAAGCAAGAAAAAGTTTAATTTTCTTTCTGGAATAGTAGTCGTACAAAAATTATTTTATACCGTTAATTGTATACGATTGTAATACAATCGGAAGATTATGATATCTTTTGTGAATAAGATTGTTATATTGAATGAATCATTTGATTTACTATGTAGTTGAGGAAGATTCATAAAATATACATAATCGTACGTACACTGAGCGCAGGCCTTTATACTTTATATTACCTAATTAAAAAAAAAAAAAAAAAAAAAAAATAAGCAAAAGGAAAAAATGTTTTAATTATTTTCCGTTGTTGTTTGTTTTCAGTTCACAGAAAACTTTTCGGTTCGCATAACCATTGACGACCAATTGGATGTAATTAAAACTGAAAGAAATGCTCTTGTTATTGTATTATCCCGTGATTTTTGTCCGAGTAACGTTTCAATATAATAATAGTATAGAGAATCATGTATCTCGGAAACCGACGATCCAACGTTCGACAAAATGTTCATTATTGTTCCGTAAATTCTAAACTCTGGTAGAAAAACTAAGTACCCAAGTCTTGCGCTTATATTTATGATAAGCTTTTTGTAAGGAAGACAGTTGTACATTGTTGACTATGATTACACATCATTAGTCGACGTGTCCTCTCGCTAGTAGACGGAACTGTGAACAAAGAGCCGGTGCCACCCAAAAATGTGCATGCCAGCTGAATATAAATCACCGTGTGCTATTGGTCTTAATGTGTGCTTTTTAACATTAATGAAGCTACCAACAAAAGATTTCGTAGGAATCGGTCTAGCAGTTTTGTCAGCGATAAAAGATTAAACTGAAAATCTTATACATTTTATTTTATTTTTTTATCATTATTTACTAGACATTACGATTAATTTGTACTGTGAGTTTTAAATGGAAATTCGTATAAGTATTTCGATTTTTAAAATAATACTTTTTTCTGGGGATTTTTTTTCTTAAACTAAAACATGTTCAATAATTGAAACAATGAGGAAAAATTTATTATTAAGCATTAAAAGAACATCATGTATTTGTGCCATGAGTTCGGGATGAACAAAGACATTAACGTTATTTTTCTTGCAAATTCGTTATATACGTGGTCCTTTGGATGTCAGTATGTCATATTTTTTACATGTTTGCGCTATAGTGACAAGATAAGGGTGAAGATGGTGCATTTGCATTAATTGTTTTTTCTTTTTACAAAAAAACAATAAATTATGTAAAAAGTCATTAAAAGAGCACACATAAATTATACACACATGTTGAATTTCTGAAATGAGTAATATAATTCGTGTTCTGTATCATTTATAATTTAACGATAGAAAAATGCAGATGGGCTGACTAATTTATAAACAAGTTGAAATTTAAGTGGACGGATGACAGATATTTAAAAAATAGAAAAAATAATAAAAAAAAAAAATTGAGCCCAAAATAGTATATTAAATTATAGTTATAACATCATTTGAATAATTACGTATACTATTCAATTGAGATTAACATTGGGATGACCTATTTGTATATTTCAAGTACATGTATAAATAAATTATTCAGTACATTTATCAGGATAAAATTATGGAAATGAAACAAATTATATATAAGATTATAACTATGGATAGAATGCTGCTAAAGTGATAAAATATCATAATTACTTTGAACCTAACTAACTAATAAACGTGACAAATATGTGAAACCCAAGTCATGCTATTATTATATTCGTCTGTATCAAGAACGCCAACGAAAAAATGAAAAGTTATTTTAATCATTATCGGAAAAATGAATCGAGGGTTAGAATGGCTGTTTTGAAGTTGATAAGCCGTTGATAATGAATAAATGGTATGAACATTCATCGACAAAATGTAATATGTTATGGATTGATTAATATTAAAAATGAATATAACGAGTAGATACTTAATTTATTATTCAAACAATAATCAACCACAAATGGAATATTATTTTATAGTTTTTTTTTTCTTTATTAATATAATATACACAATTTATACACAAACGGCACAATAAGAGTATGAGCTAAATGACAACGAATAATGAAAATATGAATAAAGAAGCCACCCACCGATGACACTTACGTCTTGATTATTTTGTGTTAACCTTATTATTATTTATTTAATTTTTTTTTTTTTTTGATTTTTTTTTTTTTTTTGATTTGATTTTTTTTTTGATTTATGGATCAAGTAGGTCTTTGCACTATTTTTGCTTAAGGCGAAGAGGAGGATTGCCAGAGATGGTTAATGTAGCTAGATTTTTTATGAGTTCGTTAGAATGAGAGTTTAGGCGTAGGTGGAAACGTTTATAATAATTTTTTGCCTCCTCCTGAATTGTTTTCATGTTTAGGTCTTTATGCAGGGAGTGGTTTGATACATATGATGGAGAATTAGTAATTTTTCTTAGTATTTTATTTTGAAACCGTTGAATTTTATTTAGATTAGAAATTTTTGCGTTGCCCCACAACTTTAAGCCGTAAGTCCAGATTGGCTTTAAGAGAGATTTGTAAAGAAGTAGTTTAATATTTAGTTTTGAGTGTTTGTTGTTGACGATTAGGGTTTTGAGCATTTGTAAACGGGAGTTTAATTGTGATGTTTTGGCTTTGATGTGGTAAGTCTAGGTAAGACGGCGATCAATAGTTAACCCGAGATATTTAACGTTTGGGGATGAGGGGATTTGAGTACCAAAAAGAGATACCTCTGGACATGGTGCTAATTTAAGTGTAAATGTAGTATGTACAGATTTTGCTTGGTTTGTTTTAAAACGCCACTTTTTATACCAATCTTCCATTAATAAAAGATGATTTTGTAGGTTTTTGGAGGCTATAATAGGATCTGGACTGGATGATATTATGACTTTATCATCCACATAGTCTGCTACTAATGTGTTGGGCGTGGTCGGTTGGTCGGATGTATAAATATTGTATAGAATTGGGGAGAGTATTCCGCCTTACCGAACACCTGCCGCAATTCCTGCTATATTAGAGTCTAAAGAACCATAATGGACCTGGAAGTATCGGTCTGCGAAATATGATTTAAGTATGATGTAGTATGTTGGATGTAGGAATTGTTTTAATTTGAATAGCAGACCTTTGTGCCACACTCTATCGAAGGCCTGGGATATGTCCAGGAAGGCACAGGTGCAGTAACGTTTTTTTTCGAGGGCAAAGGAGGCAGCGTCGACAACTCTATGGACTTGGT